TCAAATTCGAATTCACATTTCAGATACTTTTGTATAAATTGTCGTGTATAGTCCGGGCCGGTTGACTCTCGGGCTATATTAAAACCAAGGCAGTTCAGATGATTTTTGCTGGTTTTATTGGTTCTTACCCGGTTAATATGCTTTCCGATCAAAATGTACAAACCGACCCGGAACTCTTTTCGGTTTGGTGGGTTTCGGGCCGACCCGTCCGGGCTAGGCCGATTTTAATAACGATGGTATTTTGACCCAAAAATAAGGCTAAATAGAAAATGAGAGTTTTTACAAATTCGCACTCAAAACACATGCTAAATGCCAGTAATGCTCCGAGAGCCTAGTTCTTTTCGTCACAAGCAATATAAAACCACACTCGATCGTGTGATAGGCCTTATTTATATGCAACTTGATTTCCATGAAAGTCAACTTGTCATTAGTCCGCCTTTAAGCTTTGATTGTCAAAAAGCGATTGTTATTTTAACTTAATCAACATTTTTTTTCCTTTAAAAATAAGGAAAACAAGATATGCCCATGAAAAAAAAATATTTTCTTTTTAAAATTTAAATTCACAACTATGTTTCACAAACTTGCTAATGAATTTTACACGGGAGAGAAAAGGGCAAAAGAAAGAAAGAGTCAAGCTGGGAAACCCAGATTTGTGGTGGTATAGCTTTTACACGCTTGCCGACCAAGTACCTGGAAACTTCTATTTCACCCATTTTAACCCCACTACAATAATATCTCGAATCTCAATATTTTTAAAATCATTTATAAATTCCATTTTTGTGAATAATTTTGGGAGTAATGTTTACCATACAATTCATGTTGTTGCGTGATCCTATGTTTTACCATACAATATGCTTTGTCGGTTGCCAACCACTGACCTTTTAAAAACAAAAATCGTAGGCTCTCATTTCTTCATCCCCACTATTATGTGGCCCCATAAATAGCATGTTGCATCACAAATTGCAGAGATTGATGTTGATTTTGTTGAACGCTGTACGCTCGTTTGTAAATTGAACAATTCATAAACAAATTCTTCCCAATGTTTTGTTTGGGCCACCCAACCTCTACAATTGTGTGCACGGTGTCCCAACCCAATGGAACCATCAATTTAGACAGTAGAAGGACACACAGTAGGTACATGATACATGACTGCTGGATATAATTGTCGAAAAAATGATATTCCTTCACTTTTACACTAATCTAAAAGAAATGCATAATCTTCTTCTCGATTTTATATTAAATCAGGAGATCCTCAAAGTGAAAATAATTATAATTGAACTATTATGCTCGTTGGTCATTTAGCGCGTGCCTATTGCCAACCATTTATCATCTGTATAGACAGTTTCCACCGAGGTTGGGATGCCACAAGCACAATTTTTAAAGGTCATAGATAGGAAGTGGTACAAACAGAAAGATTAGGGACCCGTAAAGAATTTAGTACAGTAGAATTTGCCTTTTAAAATGTGAAGAAATTTCTGTAGTTTAGGAGCTGAAGCCCACATTCCACACGTTTTCAAGGGTTCTCACATTGCTTTCTCAGCAACTTGCCTCCACGTGCTAGTCGTTGTCATTTGAAAAGAAAAAGTCGTACATAAATAGATAACTCACCACCTCCCTACAAAATACTAGTAATTCTTTTCAACAAAAATATTGTTACCTCAGAAGGGTATTGTTTCGGAATCTGAACTATTCGATTTTGACAGTCCTACGAATCAAATACGGTTGAGTCATTCGCTACCACAAAGTTTAATCTAACTTATTAGATACATTGAAATTCTCACTATGTCAAGACATTTTAATTTTGGATCCCTATTGTCTCATCGATTCCATGAATATGAACTTCTTTTGAACATTTCTATATGTATAGAAGAAAAAAAAACAAAAACTATACAGAATACACATATGGGGTGGGCCCCATTTTGGTAATATTTAATTCACATGGGGCCCACCCCCATGTGAGTATCAGTACTTCGATTCATATTTGTGCCTCTTTTAGATATGCATGAGAAGAGTATTTTTTTAATTAATTATTGTCTCGTCATTATGAAGTACTGAAAAATAGTACCACCATGTGAGTATCTGTTCTTCGATTCATTTTTGTGCCTCTTTTAGATATGCATAAGAAGAGTATTTTTTAAATTAATTATTGTTTCGTCATTATGAAGTACTGAAAAATAGTACTCTTGATAACACAAAACGTTCAACATCTCATCTTTTTCATTTNAGCATGCTCAACACATGCAAGTCGAATGGAAAGTGGTGTTTCTAATGGCAGATAGGTAGTTCGAGAAAGTAACATCATCTATTCACACATTATAGTGGAAGTGTGTTGAATCAAGAGAAGATAGCAAACGTCTTTATTATGAATGCTTTATTATGTCGCCACTATGAAATCGAAATAGTTACCTTTTAGAAAATTTTAACGATAATTTATAGCAGAAGAAACGAATCTTCTTGGCCATTCCACTATGTTCTTGGCTATAGACATACTGAGAGATCATTATCAAAAATGAACAAAGGAAAACCATACATCAGTACTAACAAACACAGCAGCAAAATAATATCATTTAAATGAGACAAGAAAGACAACCGACAGCTAACGATCATTAACGAATTTAAACAAAGTTAATAGCTTCTTAACAAGAAAGTTAAAACATGATAAATTCAATTTATCTTCCACGATTACTCTTTATGACAAAATGTGTCATATAAACAATAATAGAATTGCTGTCCTATTCAGTAGACAGAGTTATTTTTTACTCCTAGCATTAATTCCTATATATAGAGAGAAAAAACCTTCAAAAATCTCCACATGCTGATTCACTACACATTAAGCTTTGTTAAGCACAGTATTTCTGTTCATAACAGATTTTGAAGCTGGTAAGGAATTGGACTCACGGGAAAATGCCTTGATCAATTTCTCCTTAGTTATTCGCTCTGATCCTTGCGACTTTACAACAAATGTGTGAAATACATGGTCACTATCTGTAGCAATCTTCGACTCAAAAACAGAGGCTTGTGAATCCTTGATTGCTTGAACAACCCTTGATACCGGGTGGGCGTCCAATGGGCAGCTCACCCTCACAGTGATTTCATCGTGACTGGATTGGATGTCAATACTAGGAGGTTGATCTTGCCTTTCAGAATTCGGTTTTACTTCTGAAATCTGTGTCTCCTCTGAAATGTTTCCAAACTTTTCTTTCTCGGATTCCATATCTTTCAGTTTCTTCTGCAGTTCAGTTATGTAAGCAATGGCATCTCCCAAGAGGGATGCTTTGTCCATCTTCGAAATATTTGGCACAACTGCTCGAAGTGCATAAAACCGCTGGTTCAGCTTCTCTCGCCGTTGTCTCTCTGCCTCAACATGATTGAGAGCTTCTTCTCTTCCATTGGCAGGCTTCCTACCACGCTTTCGAGGCCTTCTGTCATCAGAGAGCTCCTCATTGCATGAAACCTCAGCATCTAAACACTGAGAATCGACATTACGAGGTTGGAAAGTTAAAGGTTTTGAAATCGCTCCAGTAAAATCAATCTGCATTTGGGCTGGCTTTTGAAGCTGAAAACTACTAAGCTGAAACTCTTCCTTAGTCCTGTTAACAAGCTCGTATGGATTTTTTGCTGCGGTCTGTGGACTGTAAATTTCAACAGAGTTCCCTGGCTCTACATTACCCAATTCCGTCCAACTTGAACCGTGAAAACCATTCCTAGCATGTGTGAATGGAAGCCTGTTCCCATTTGCATACACGTCCCATGGCCTATCTTCCAAATTCCTACCAGCAAGCTTTTCCGTGAACTGCACAGAACCAGAATTCATATCCTGACCAAAAATCTTAGGAACTATGCCTGGTCGGCTACCAATTACCAAATCAGAATTTGGGTCGTCGCCATCTTTTCTATTCGTTCCCACTGGAAAAGACGCAGCTTGATTGGCCCTGATAAGAGACGAAGTTGAAGAAAATGAAGATCTTATAATCTGCAAGAGTTCCAAGCTTTCTGGGACCGATCTCACAGATCCTAATTCCACCACTCCAATGTCAGTCGGAATCAAAACAATAGTTCGCATACCAGCAGACTTTGCAAGAAACGACCTCACGCAGTAATCAAATGAGAAATTCAATGCATCCGATAACCAAACATGCTTTCCAGATTCATAACACTTCCCCGGGCCACCTTCTCCACGAGGGAAGGAGAAGTACATGGACGCTAGGAAGAAGATTTCAGCATCCGTAACCTTATCCAATCCAAAAGCATAATTATCCTCCTCGGTACCCCCAAACAGAGTATGTAACTTCTGAAGAACCCTTTTCCTCATCCTTTGCTGAGTCTCATCCTCGAGTCTAAAATTCAAAATCCGAGTCCCTTCGGATTCTTCACCTTCACGAGGCTCTCGACAACAACCATCACCCCATCCAAGGACCAAGTCACCTGACTTGGATCGCGATAGTTGCCAGAAAATTGCGTAATTCCAACTAAAATTAGCTGCATTAGGATGTTCCACTAGATCTGAAAGCTTATTCTGCAAATTCTCATCATTCCCCATAGTCATTAACGAGCATTCGGCCAAAACCGAGCTCGACATCAAGTAATTGAAAGCCTTAGTTCCCAAAACAACAGCCATCATAGCCTTATCCTCATCATTCCACAATATTCCCCCCATTTTTCAACTCCACCCACCAGCAAAACAGATAAGCAACCTTAAATATCCTATCACACGACAAGAAGAAAAAACCCAAATCTTTTATTACAAGAAATTTCAATCACAAATCAATCCAACAAAAGCCCATGTTCCCTCTTGAACAAAAAATTGAACTTTTTGGCAAATACCCAATTGACCATACCTCTAGTCTCAGATCTTGAGAGCCATAATCTACAAAAACATACATAAGAAAAAATCATAACAAATACGAACCTAATATACACAAGTTTCAAATGAATTGAAACAAACAATAAAGAACATAAATTTAAAAAATGAAAAAGAAAAAAAAAACCTACCAATCCTCGAGAGTCTAAAATCACAGATTCGCTAAAATAGTGAGAATTTAGTAGTAAATATTTTTCTTTTTCTGTTCTTTTCGAGGAAAGAAAGAGAGGGACTGGATTCAGAGAAGAAGAAATTGTGGGCTTGGTAGTTTTTTTTCACACTAAAATTTCGTTTCCGCTAAATCCCAACTGATGTTTTGTGCATGAGGTTTGGTTAATGTTTTAAAGGTGGTGGAAAAGTAACCATGGTTAGAGAAGGTTTCACAACAATTCAGAAAGGGGGTCTGTATATTTATCTTTGGTGAATTTTAAGGTTTCTATTCAGAAATTGTAGTGGGGTCTGAAAAATGTGATAGATATGGTAAATTGAGAAAATCTACCAGAGAGTTTCAAGAAATTTATATTGAGGTCACTTAATTTACAAGTTGGTTTCACATTAGTCGTCTAACTTTAATTTGAGCACGAACTTCAATTTTATATGGGTATGACCATTTAACATTATCAAAATTGATAGAATTCATACCCTGGGCAAAAGAATTCGTGATTGTTAAGGGTGGTACCGTGATGTGAAGATGAGGCGATGATTAACATATTCACATTTCTCGTCCTATTCTCTAATATACTTATTTTTAAAATACGATTCACATTTTTCCACCCCTAAATTTTTATTGTTTGTCACAAATTCCTTAGCCATGTTAAGAATTTCCTTAATTATTGTATGGTAAATAAGGGTGGACATTTTAATCGAAACTGAACCTCCTGAAGCGGAAATTGAGGTTTCGGTCCAGTTCAAAAAAATAACTTAGGACCCAAATATTGATCGGGTTCAAGTTGGTTCCTGATTCTTGAATTATAATCATGGGTACCGACTCTGAAATCGAATTTGCTTTTTTATAAGTTACAATTCATTCCGCTGGCCCAATGATTTTGCCAAATAAATAGCAAGTTTATAAGGTAAAACAAGTAGCAAGTTTGCAAGGTCCAAATAGTAAGTGCCCTAATAAATTAGATTAACTCATTTGAATAATTGAATCATATCACTTTAATTCATAATCTCTCATGGGTGCACTTTACGTGTTGCTCGTTCCACATGTTGTTCTTGAGGCGACGCACACAGTCATATGTTATTATGCTAGATATTTTATGCTATTTAATAGCATATTTGCAGTGAATTAAGAAATTGTTAGAATAGATATTTGTGACATGTTTTATTTCTTCTATTTTTTGTTAGATATTAAGAAGATAATTTATATCATTAGCTTATGAAACTGAATGGTTTCACTTATAAAATACTCCAAGTGCAATAGATGGTTCCGAGTATGAAAGATTCGGAGCGACCCACTCGATGCCCAAACCTAATCGTAAAGAAGGACACGATCAAATTGATAGAGAAATATAAGTTGAGTATGTGAATTAAAAGAAACTAAAGTTGAATAACCAACACGAGACAATTTTGTAAGTTAGGTAACCTTCAGTAAAAATTGAGATATTAGTTCCACATGAAATGTCATTTTCGTTTTATCTCCTAGGATTTAGGTATTATTTGTTATGAATTTGAATGAACTCTCCTCTATTGGATATGTTCAAGAACAGATTTATCTAAAAACTTAAAATAAAAAATAAAAATCTTTAATGTAGGAAAAAATTTCAACAAAAAATACATGAAAGTGAAAAGTAACATATTTTAGTATTGATATTTGTTTTAGAAGTGAAATTTATTCCTTGATGAGCAAAAGAAACAAACTTTATTCTTTGCTTTTTTACTTAGTGCATTGAATCACATATTGAACACTTTTAAACTAGTAGCTACTCCCTTATCACCTATTGTGAAGCTGTAAAAAATTTGAAGGAAAATAGAAAAAGAAAAAAATAGCAAGGCCAAGTAGTGTATTTTTGAGTTATTAATGAATTTGTAGAGATCCACTCTCTAACTTCCCTCCAATGTCTCAATTTTTGAAAACGCCTGCATTGTTGGATACGTGTTTGGATCTATCTTGAGCTTTTTCTTTCTTTCTATAGAATTTGTTGTTCAACTATACGTGTCTGAGATGCACTGACTTAGTTTGGCCTCTCCCATAACCCTTATCGTTGATGGTTATGAGCCACGATAAAGCAAAATTTATTTTTCAATGAATCGTTATAGTGTACTGAAGAATTCAATAAAATATATAAGAAAAAACACAAAGAATTACGTGGTTCGACTACATCCACGGGAGAAGGAAGAATATTATATTCGCTTCTATCGAAAGTGTTACAATGACACATATATATAGTCATATTACAACAATATTGCCTTATTATAGATGAGACAATCATGGAAAGAATATAACAAATTATGGAAACATTCCAATTATTATCAACCAATATTCTCCAAATCATGTCATAATATTTTCTTCAATATTAGCAAATATTCTTCAAATCACCAAATATCTCTCTTCTCCAACACTCCTCCTCAAGTTGGTGCGAAAATATCGATAGAGTCCAACTTGGACAATATCTCATGAAATTTGACAATTGATAAGCCTTTGGTGAAAATATCAGCCAATTGCTGGCTACTACAAACGAAGGAAGTGCAAATAACCTTGTCTTGGACTTGTTCTCGTATAAAATGATAGTCAACTTCAATGTGTTTTGTTGTCTCATGAAAAACTAGATTTGAAGCAATATGTATAGCAGATTGATTATCACAAAACATGTGGGAGGATTGTGACGAACCAAATCTCTAATCCTTCAGCAAAGAGCGAAACCAAATAATTTCACTGACAGTAGAAGCTATTGCCCAATATTCAGCTTCAGCACTAGAGTGTGCAACAACGTTTTGCTTCTTACTCCTCCATGTCAACAAATTTCCGCCAATAAAAGTGCAATATCTAGTGGTAGATCGTCTATCAACAGCACTACTAGCCCAATCTGCGTCTATATAAGCAGAAATAAGAGAATGACCATTTTTACGCCGCATCCATATACCTCTTCCAGGTGACCCCTTGAGATAGTGCAAAATCCAATTAACGGCATCCATATGTGCAACTCGTGGATAATGGATAAAGCGACTAACAAGGCTGACAGCATATGAGATATCAGGTCGAGTAATTGTGAGGTAAATTAGTCGGCCCACCAATCTTTGGAATTGACCCACATCAGATAATAGATCACCATCAAGTGTTAATTTGGAATTACACTCTATAGGCGTTTGAGCTGGTTTAGCACCTAATTTTCCAGTGTCTTTTAACAAATTCAATATGTATTTTCTTTGGTTTAGAAATATGCCCTTTTTTTAATATGCAATTTCTAATCCGAGAAAATACTTCAAAAGTCCCAAATCCTTAATAAAAAAATGTATATGAAGAATATTTTTGAGCCTTGATATTTCTGCAAGATCATCACCAGTAATAACGACGTCATCAACATAGATCAAAACAATAACAGTACATTTCATACCTCTTTTCACGAACAAGGAAGAATCAGCATTACTCATCTTTAAACCATTCTTGACAAGAACATGACTGAGTTTGGCATACCATGCACGAGGTAATTGTTTAAGACCATAAGTAGATTTTCTTAATCTGCATGTTAGATCACTACGACCCTCCAGCCGATGACCTGGAGGTATACTCATATAAACTTCTTCATCAAGATCACCATGTAAAAAAGTATTCTTCACATCCATCTGAAATAATTTCCAATCTTGATTGACGGCTAGAGATAAAAAGAACACGAAACGTGTTCATTTTGGGTACGGGAGGAAATGTCTCATTCAACCTTTTTAACTTCGTTGTCTTCAACTCAAGAGCCAAATAATTTTAGAGAAACAAATTCCAATTCTATTTGGAGACAAGCAATGCAGGACGAGTTATAAGCCCTTGAGGACAACAACACTTGGTCAATTGTAAAACTTCATCCATGGAAGAAGACAGTTGGGTGTCGTTTGTTGGAGAAGAGAGATATTTGGTGATTTGAAGAACATTCACTAATATTGAAGAAAATATTATGACATGATTTGGAGAATATTGGTTGATGATAATTGGAATGTTTCCATAATTTGTTATATTCTTTCCATGATTGTCTCATCTATAATAAGACAAAGATTTCAGCAATATGTGCTTCCATCGAATTTAGAAGCCAGACCTAATGAGTTGATTATTCGAAATTCACCCTTCTTACGTTGGATCTGTAGAATCTGGACAAGTAGAAGTGACATTGATAAACCTAACTTTTTCTTTCCACCAAGAGATAACGTCACGGTTCTTGACCATTGTATATAATTTATACCATTCAAGAGAACGGTAGATAACTTCCAACCAGGATTAACATCATTCTTCATCATTATAGATGGATTAAGGGCTTTCTCAGTCATTGTAAACGCGGAGCCAAACCGAAAAGAAACTTCGAACTGCAAAAAAATTGAAAAAAAAAAAACAAACAATTGACTTTGAGGTGATATTGACCCACCAAACGTTGTCGAAAATAGCTCGAAAGGTAACTAGCTAGATACGGACGATACAAATCCAATGACACAGACCTTGCGCAATTCCGATTTACGATTTGAAAGATACAGCCGTTTTCGTGAAGGTCGCGCAAAACTGAAAAAATCTGAATTGTGCAAAAGAATATTCATTCCTCCATCTTTATCAGTCAAAAATATTATCCAAAATATTGGCAACAGAATATTCATCATTG